ATGGAGCACGCTGTACTATAACTATTGTAAATTGCATGTATGATTGAATCTAAATGATTTATTTGTAAAGTGCCTTGAGATGAGACTTGAACTGAATTAATTTTCCAGCAATAATTTGGAGTTAAATTCTGAGGAAAAGCACACATAGGTTAACTCTGAGGATATACAGAGGTCAAATTTTGACCTCTGTCCCAGACGTCCAATAGTGAAAGCCAACCATGAAGTGTAACTTATCCCAGTGTTGTTCAGTGACATGTGATTTAGTGTAATGTGTTTGACTAATTTCTTCACGGCTTCTGAAGCGTAGCCATTCCATATTTAGAACTGGACCAAAACCATCCAATAAACACACATCAGAAAAGGATTTTCCATTCACATATCAAACTTCCCTCCTAAATATGTATTTATAGCCATTGTCCACAGTGCCAGGTGGATTATGTCGTAAGCTACCGTTTAGCCCTGGTAGATGTTATTGCTGAAAGGCCACACTTGTTTGGAAGGGCATGCAGCAGAAGATATGCAGGTCATGGTATAATCGTTTTAAATTCTGTATGGAAAACAGGACCTGCCCTGGAGGGGAACGGTGACCTGTAGGCAGAGAGAGGCAGGAGGAAACGCTGTGGATGCAGAACCCTCAGCCTGGCCTCTGTCTGCTTATTCCTCTGCATCTGCATCCGCCAACTCCCACCATCCCACACTCTATTACAGCCTTCACTGTGAATATGAAATGTGTCTCCAGTAGATGACAGGTGGCTGGATCTATGTATACTAAATACTTAATATGGGCTTGATTCACTAATATCAATATTCCCATCATAGGCATGAGTTAATATGGGGGGAATACAATCAATAAAGAAATGAGAGGAATAAAGGAAAAGATTAATCATGTCCATCTGTCTGGCTGTTCAGCCACCTTTCCTTCTTCATCTTCCATTTCCTTTTTTCTCTAACTTCATTAACTTTAGAGCTTTAATGGCTCTGTAAGTGACAGTAAATGGTCCTCTGTGTGCTTCAGAAGGGTGCTTCGTCTTTTGTTTGGCGAAAATTCTTGAAAAGTAGATATAAACTAATACACCAGTCCAGACAGAAAGGTCTGTGGAGCAGGTTTCTGACAGAGCAACTTGATCACAACAATATTGTCTTCTAGTGTCCAATCAGATCATCTTTTTAAGCAAAACTGAATCCCCAGTGGGCCAAGAGAAGCAGCTTTGCCTCCAGCTGGAACCTTTGTAGGGAAAAAAGATTATGATTAATTGCATTACTATTTTTAACGCAATAAAATCTGTGTAATTAATTAATCAAAATTAACTTTTTAAAGTCCCAGTCCAAAGGGTTTCTGCCACATCAGACACTTTGAGGACATTTCCAGGCACATTATTTTGATGTGCCTGGAAATTAAAGTGTAGTGACAGAAAACCCATACAGAATTAAAAAAGATTCTACCTTGGATTGTACAGAAGACTGTCCAACACGACGCCCTTTATGAGACAGAATAAACACAGTCAGAAAAAATGTATTATTTTCTTAATGGACTTATAAATACGTCCAGTCCGACAAAAGCTCCAGCAGAAGTTAATTAGCATAACTTTCACTTTAGCATAGCTTCTATTGTGGCTTTTATTTTTGTGTAGTGGCTTTTGCATTTTGTTGACCCTACTGGGCCACTGTAGATTCAGGTTCAAAACAACTATAATAAATGGGAGTCTAATCTAAAATCTTTTTTTCTACACAAATGAAAAGTGATCTGCACTAACAGGTGCCATCTTCTACAATAAGTATGGAAAATGGATGGGTGGAAGAACTTGAAAAAGAGCCTGAATTACAGGGAAGGAGGCGAGCCTTTTTAATAATAAAAAAAGAGCTAGATCAGGCATGCTAGCAATGAAATCCTAGAGATTTTTCCCGCAATACCCAACATGCAGCACACTAAGAGTTTATTGCTAAACTAGAGCTAAGGACACATAAGTTAGGAAGGCTAGCCTCCAAAGCTAAGAACCATCCACTTATATTGTTTTGTGCTTTCATGAGTTTTCACATCACTGAGCTGAGCTGCTGACCATCAGTGCCTAGAGAGCCTTAAGGGTTTTTACTGTGCCTGTTATATAATATTATCTTTATTTCCTGACAAGCAGTTTTTGTTTGCTGATATCAAATTCCAGATCAACACTTCATTAAAGTTCATAAAATCAGAGCTGTGTATGATGTGTATGACGAACACCTCGGTGTCTTTAAAGTGCAGTAAAGTGACACATTATCCTTCATCACATGACACATCACTGTCATGATCTACTTCAGTACTGTGACTGTGTCCCCAGCTAAATAACATTTCGGATAAAGCAGTGTTTCTTCTACACAGATTATTTGTCGCAGACAGGAAAACAGTTGATACAGTCTTTCTTTTTATGTCAATATGTAGGATAAAAAAATACACTCTTTGCTGGAGAATTCAGATTTGTAAGAACAAAACTGGGACTGAGACTGGGACATTCCTACTATATGCTTTTAAGATTTGTTCCCTGGTGTATAACACTTTTAAAGGGTTTCTATCATTTTACTACTCTGGATTAAATGCATATCTCTCTCTTGTTCTCTTCTGTTTCTCCATAAATGGTCCAGTTGGACCCATCAGGAGCTGCTGTCCTCCACCAGGCCAGGAGGGACAAGGTGGTGGAGTCCTGCAGAGTTAACAGCGCTTTCAGTCGAAAGCGGAGAGTTCTGACACCCGGGGACCTTAAACACCTCGTGGTGGACGAAGACCATGAGCTCATCTACTGTTATGTCCCCAAGGTGGCCTGCACCAACTGGAAACGTGTGATGATGGTGCTCACAGGCCGGGGCAAGTACAGGTGAGTGTCACATTTTTATGACTCTGGGGTTCAGGCATTGTGTTGTAAGAATGTAGGATTCACCACATGTGGAACCTAAAGGTCACAGTCTAATTTGGTGACAGTGATGTGAGCCTCAAAAGGTTTGCCACACCTGTTTTTGGCTTATGTTTTCATTTGTTCTCAGCTAATTCAAAATTCCAGAGACTTCTCAAGGACTTTCCCAGAATTCCCCAGAAGCTCCTCCTGAGTTATTTTGACTGTGTGCTTTGGGTCAATGTTGCATTGAAAAATCAATTTTCTCCTTAATCCTAGGTCCCAAGCACTCCTGAGCAGGAGTCATTTATGAAACACCGCTGTCGTCTCACCATCATCCTTTACAGTTAATTATTGTTAGCCAGATGGAGAGCAGTGCCTGTTAGTCTCAAAAGATCCATACTGGCTGAGGCCTTTTACTCTCTGATTGCTCAGGTTGGACAGCCTGGTGGTTCCAAACGTCTCCCATCTGCATGTAACAGAGACCACGGTGCTTTGTGGGATGTTCAATGCTGCAGAAGCTTTTTTGTATTATTTGCCTGCTTTGTGCTTTCACACAATCTGGCCTCTGAAGTTTACACACAGCTCTCTTAACATCATTGCTTGATTTTTGCTCTAAGCACTGTCCATTCTGAGACGTTAAGGATAAAAATGTCCATTCAACTGAATTACTACAGGTGGACAAAAGGTTCTTGTGGAAATCAGATGCATCTGAGATTATTTTGAAGCAGTGTCTGTATTTTTTTATGTTTAAATGATTACATTTGTTCAGTTGTCTATTGCTTGCTCAAATGTGGCGTGTTCAGTAATTCCTTCTCATTGTCCTTGTGCCTTTCCTGTACAGTGACCCCATGGAAATCCCCTCCAATCAGGCCCATGTCCCTTCCAATCTGAAGACGCTGAATCAGTACAGCATTGCTGAGATCAACCATCGCCTCAAGAACTACTTCAAGTTCCTCTTTGTCCGTGAGCCCTTTGAGAGGCTGGTCTCAGCTTACCGCAACAAGTTCACCCTGAAGTACAACTCGTCCTTCCATAAGCGCTTTGGCACCCGGATCATCAGACGCTACCGCAAGAATGCCACCCAGGACGCCCTGATCAATGGCGCTGATGTCAAATTCAAAGAGTTTATCGAGTACCTAGTGGATCCAGCCACACAGCGCGATGGCCCTCTCAACGAGCACTGGCAGACAGTTTACCAGCTTTGTCACCCATGTCACATCCACTATGACATGGTGGGCAAGTACGAGACCCTTGAAGAGGATGCAAACTACATACTGCGGCTAGTGGGTGTTGGTGACTCCCTGCGCTTCCCAAGCTACGCCAAGTCCACTCGTACCACAGACGCCATGACCGCTCAGTTCTTCAGCAATATCAGTTCTCAACAGCAGGTCCAACTCTACCAACTTTATAAGATGGACTTCCTCATGTTCAACTACTCCATACCCAGCTACTTGAAGCTGGACTAAATGACAGCAGAGCTGGTACTCTGACAATGGCTGCCTTGTTTGCAGAATGGCAAAAATAAAAGAAGAGTGAAGTGCAAATTTTGGAAGAAAACTTGATTTTTAAAAACTGTCGTCGTGCTTTGTTGGTGTTGTGTCTGCAAATGGATATTTAACGAGTCCCGAAAGGTTAGAGGAAAGTGTGCTTGTGTGAGCATAAGCTGAAGGATGTTCAGTCAGCAGAGCCAGAGCGCTGACTGGGGGCGGAAGTGGGCTTGAAGGACCTAACACCTACAAAAACTGAAATGTCTGGGTGAAGCGGGTCTTCAAGAAGAACTTATCTTCAGAAGATGAACTTAATCGAGGGATTCTTCTGATTATGTTCTCTACATCAGAGGCTGCCTCACATTCTGCAGAGCAAACAGCACCCTAACACACTGACTCCAATGCATTGTGAGAGCTAAGCTCATCCTTCTCCCCTGTTATCTAAGAAACTCCGTCAAATTGTAAAGCAGTTCTTGTCCTGTGCTGCCCTGTCAGCATGGTGAGTTACCTATGAACCATTTCATTAGATTCATGTCAAAGGAAAATTGGCTTATCACATCCTAAAGGGTGCCTTATAATATACGGCTCCTTACTTTACAACCATGAACTCACCGGCAGTAACTACAGCGGTGTAGCCTTCAGTCAAGTGTTTTACCAAAGCCAGTTTTATCTTCAGTTTTGGATGCTGGCAGAACAGATCATCCAATCTTTCGACTTGAAGACATCAACGCATCAATGACGTTTGAAAGTTCTTTACAGATTGATCAGACCGGCCAACCGGCAAGGATGCATTAAAGAACGGGATGCATGAATGTGATTGGGTGTACCTTAAAGAAAAGAGACAGTCAATGAGGTTTTCAGGAGTGACAGTCACTGGATCACATAGCCACCATGCCCCTCATAGGGGCCCAGTGGACGGAAGCAGGCACACACCCAACCAGGCTACCAGCCAAACACGTCTTTAAGTAAATTAAGATTACCCTTTTGTCGTCTTTCTTATGTTTTGTTTTGTTTCTGTTTATCTTATGAAACATTGCTGCAAGCAGCAATAATAAAAACATATTTAATTGACTTTGTTGTCTGATTTCAGAGTGATTTAAGGTGCGTTTGAACCACTGAAACCTTTTCTTTACCCACACAGCAAGTAGCACAGCTGGCTGTGTGTGCAGTCTCCAGGTATTTAAAGTGATGTAGAATGAGGTTTCAGTGCTTTGTTTACAAAGACTGACAAGAACATCCATTGACCCAGCTGGAAGATAACAAGGCAGAGAAGAAGTTCTGGATGTCGTTGGATTTAACTTACCTAAATTTGTAAGATTGTGAGAAGCTCAAGAGAGTAGGTCTGAAAAGGAAGGGCAGAAAATTTGGTCAGAAGCCATCCTCAGTGATAAAAAATATTCTCAGCTGATATTATCTTATGAATCTGCATTTGTGGGTTCATTAGCTTTCTCCCATAGTCCAAACATCACTCTTAGGTATAGTGGGAGTGTATGGTTGTCTGTTCTGTGATGGACTTGCAATCTGTTCAAGGATCAGTTAAGACTCTACAAACACCAGCAGGTATAGAAAAAGGATGGATGGTCCTTTTCCTTTCAGTTTGCTTCAGACTTATCTAATTCTTCTCTACATTTCCTTCAGAATGGTTTATAATATATCAGCTCTTGACTTTGTCCTTCGGTACTCGGGACAGTCAGGAATGTTTTGGTTGCTGTCATTTGATGCAACCAAATTTTGAAGTGAGAGCCAAGCTTTTTCTCTATCTCCACTCTTTCACTCCCATCAGACATATCTCACTCCCTTTAAGGAGTCTAACATTTTTCCTTAGGTAAAGTGAGGTTGCTGTCTTTATGGCATGTCACTAGACTTGTCACTACTGTATGCTTCTGCCAGCGATCAGGACGGTCTGAAAATGCTGAAGATTTCAGGATGAGTGAACGCTGTTTAGGGGACATTATTCACCCTAAACCATCCGAAGGAAGGCTTTGGGCTCACTGAGTCGCACACCACCATGTCTCCCTTCAAGGTCCTCTCAAAGTTGCCAGCCTTTCTCAGCAACAGTAAACTGACACCACCCTTCAATTATTTTATAAATAGTCATAATTTACCTTTTTGTTTAAATAATGCCTAAATAAAACAAGTGATAATACAGGTGAAGCTCCTCAGAGGTCTTTCTGAAGCTGTGTGAACATGTGTGCCTGCTGCAGCCTGCAGTTCAACGGGACCGCAGCTCTTTTTCTTTGGTGCTTTGCTCCCAGTCAGACATCTGGCTCTGATTGAAGAGAGGAGCTACTGCTCTGGCCTGTAGCCGTAGCCTTCATCCTCCACACGTAATGACTGTATTCCAAGCATGATTCAGGAGGACAGAAATATAAATGCTCCCTTTGCACATTAGCTCTCCTGCTGATTTTTAATGCCACACTAGATCTTACTCAGCAGTTCAGCAAAGCATCTGAGGCTCAATTTAAACAGCTTATTTAGCCTCTTACATGGAAAATGAACAATACACAAAGGACCTCTTAGCTTGCAAACAAGCTATTACAGAAACCTCCCTTTCCTTTCACTCTGTGTTTTTCCTCTTGTGTCCACCCCAGCATCATGTATTTAAAAAAAAGCTAAAAAACTAAAAGTGAAGTGTGGTCATGTCCAGTTTGTCTGAATGCTCACAGGAAGTCAACCACACAGAGCCTTTGCTTTGCCTCTAGCAGAGACAAAAACAAATGGCCAGATTTGGGTATTTTTGTTCATATTCTGAACTGGACAGCCTGCCTGACTCCAGCCCTGGCATCTCGCCGTGCAGGAGTATTTATATTCAAAACTGCAGCTATATTTTTACTTGTTTTTCAGCAATGTCTACAATTAGACTGAGCTGTATGTTTGCTGTTTGCCAATTGAAGCAGAAAATGTCTGAGCTGGAGTGTTTTTCCCTTGTTGGCGAACACAATAAAATGTTTTGTTCATAATTTTGTAAGTAGTGCCTATATAATCACTTTGTTTACTTTCCCAGTGTTTCCAGAGGTGTGCTAACTGGACATTACTTTAATGACAAATTTATTTTCCACTCTGGACACATTGAGAATTCAATATATGTAATGCTTCTTTTGTTACCATTTTTACAACTTTTATTTTTAAGTTGTGTTCAGGCCTGTGGCTCATGATAAGTATTTATTGTTTTGTTTTTTTTAACTCAAGAAATATGTAGAGGATGTTACAGATTGTGGTGCATCTTTAACATAAAGGACATGTGGATCAAAGTAGAACAGATGGTTATTTTGCATATTTTATTAAATCAATTCAGTTTGTTTATACAGTCAAAAGTCACAAGAAATGTCATCTTGACACACTTTACATTGACTCCAATTGTTCAATTTTGCCACCAGGTGGCATATCACATAAGAAACATGACTAAAGTACTTCACTAAAATACATTGAAAATGTCAATGTCTAAGTATTTTTTAAAGAACTCTGACATATTAGCGTATAATTTTTCCCCCCCATCTTTTAGCATTTCCAATCTCTTAATAACTTTGAATGTTTGTCATATACTACCTCAAAAATTAATATTTTCTCTTCTTGTCTGATTTCAAATATTTTCCACAAACGACGCACCGGCACAACCACAGAAGAAGAATCACCAAAGTAGAGAGCAGAAAGCAGAAGATCAGCCACAGGAGAGTTCAGATGCTGCCAGTCTGTGTTGCTTTACAGAGAATAGGGGTTGATATGGGGTGAGAGCTGCAGCCAGATGAGTTATTTTTCATGTTTGTGAACAAACCAATGATTTCACAATTTTGTTTATTGTGCTACATATGGCTGGTTTGTGCTGTAAACTAAGATGAAGCTTCCTTAAGGATTTTGTGCTCATAACTATAAATCTCTACAGCTAGAGGTCAAGTTCTAGCTTCTAAATTGTGTTATAAATTCATTTTTATAACTTTGAAGACTGCCAGTTGATTTTTTTAATATAGATTTTAGTTTTTTCTCTGCAATAATTACCAACACAAACCATCTCACAAATCTCTTTAAAAACTCCTGCTCTTTCTGAAATTCCACCTTCAGGAAGTCGTCACAACATGGCTCCTCTACTAACCCTTTAACAAGGTTTTTACCAGCTTTGCGCTGAGAAGTAGCTCCCATAATGAGCTCAGCAGGTATCCAGTTCCACCAGGTGTTTGCTAATTGCTGCTGGCTAGTCTGAAGGAGCGGAGTGGGGCTGAGGGCTGCACTGTGAGGCACAATTGTGGACACTGCAACTCTGAGCAAGATCTGCGCCTCAAAGCTAACGTTTTGCACAGCTGAATGGTTGCCATGGAGATTAAAGAATTTCTCAAAAATGCATGAAATAATCAAGGCAACACTCCAGGTATGATTTTAATGAAGGAATAACATTCTGACATGTTATAAAGCTAAAAAGAGTCGATTTTACCCAATACTGTACCTTTAAATTTACAGCAATCCCTCCTGAAGCATCATGTAGCTGCAGGGGACAAACGATTGCATTTGGTTGGTAACTTTGCAGCAATCCATTAAACTGAATATGCATGTGGTGAGTGTGGAGAACAGTAACTTTGATTCAACAGGAGTAAACCTCCAGCAGACCCTGCCTCAGTGTGAGCAGCAGTATGACTGGACGAGCTGACACGAAAAAAAAAAAAAAAAGCGTCAATGATCCATGAATACATCCTGTTACACAACGAGTTAGTGACAGCAGAAGGCTAAACAGATGAGCTTTTAGGACAGGTTTTCTAATCAGTGAAGAGTTCCCTATTATTTCTACTGCTTATGTATACTTACTCATGAAGAGCTTCTTCATTTAATGCTACGTTGTTACTACAGGCTTTTGCTTTGTAATCAGTAAAACTCCTGCTCTTTCCAAACAAAGCTGCAGTCAGAGCTGCAGCTGCTCTGTTTGTTTCCCAGCCCACGTCTCCATCTGTGCTTCTTCAGCTCCCAGCATCCTCATCGCACCAACCATCCTCTGCTGCACACCATGTTTTCTCTAAAACGGGCAAAGTTGACAGAGGTGACACCCGCCGAATGGCATGAAAAAGATGAACGGAAGAAAGAGGAATAAACATTCCCATTCATAGATTAGCAACATATGGAAGATGCTGACTCTGTGTGTCTCATAGTGACACGATAAATAGAAACAACACAAACTAAAACAAATTTGTGGGCATTTTTTCCACAATAAAAGTCCAACACAATTATCATTTGAGAGGGAATCCAAGCAAAAATAATTTTACGGGAGAGTTGAAAAATCACAACACAAAGAAAAATAAAGAAACAAATCAAGAATCAAGAAACTGAAGTATTGATTGTATCATGCCTGTATTGATCTGATAATGATACCGTTTTGGTATCAATATTATTGATATTTTGGTTCGATCAACCTGCCTTTAGAATCCAAGTTAACTGAGCCTTGAATTGTTCCGCTGTTCTGTCCAAGCTGCTCCACAGCGTCATGAAAGTTTCCACATTTTATCACATCATAACAAACTTTGTTTTATTTTGGGGATTTTATGTGATTATCAATTATCACAATGTAGCACAAAAATATGAAGCGGAAGGAAAATATGATGGTTTGAGGCTGCTTTGTTTCTTTAGGACCCAAATGGCTTGCCGTAATTAGTTGTGACCATAACTTTATCTCTCTGGCTGTGGATGGTGCAGGACGGCCGGCCATCTGCTCACGTTGTGACCTTCACTTAAGGACATTTCAGTTCCACAACACAACTCTTGACTGGCTCAAAACCAAACTGAAGCCTCTGTGAACTTATCTTTACCTCGTAGTAAAATTTATTTTGATGATCTGAAACATTTAGTGTGGGGAAACGTGTTGAGTCTCACAGCACTGACTGGCCACAGTTCACACCCCGGGGATCTCCCCCCAGCTCTGGAAAGGACTTTGCTTCGGCTGCAGGCGTCCTTGGAGGAACGCTCTCTCATTATTTGTGCTCAGACCAACATGAAGGGCGGGAGCAGAGGCAGAGTTCATCGTTGCCCAAAGACACTTGAACATGTGTCACGGCGGACGGTGGAACGGAACCGACAGCCTTCCGATAGAGAGATGCTCTACACCAACACTCACTGTAAGCAAGGCACAATGAAATTACAGGGAGCCGTGTTTGGATGGGCGTGTGAGTGCTGCCACTTGCCTGATGTCTTGTCAGCGTGCACACACACACGCGAACACACACTATGTGGCAGTATTGCTCCTCCTGTCTAACCTTGTGGTTCAGACTGAAATACACTGTGGCCTTCCACCCTCTCCAGCTATAAACTCTGTCATTACAGGGAGGCTACAGTAAAGTTGTCTGTGTGTGTGTTTGTGTGCTTTTCTGTGTTTCTGTGTTGAAAAGCTTAATATTTAAACCAAGAAAAAACTGCATAGAATGAACAGAGTGCTGGAAGTTTCTTCAGAAACTTTGGGCTCTCACAACAAGAGCAGCTTTATCATCTCCTGCTCACATTACTATAATAAGAGCAAAGGAATCAGGTTAATTATAAAGGTTTGGTGTTTGGAAAACAGACAAGGCCACAGCATTTAGATAAAGCTGCTCATCATGCAGGTTTAGGCAGAATGTTCTATGAGAAACAGCTCCAGGTTTTTGATGCTAGACATTTTCTGGGAACAGATCAGAGTGCAGAGAAAGGAAATCCCATAAACACAACTCCACCAATGAGAGAAGCTGGTCAGGTCATGGTGGATGATCACAGGCTGCGACGAGAACACAGTCTCTGGAAGCGTTTGATTAGAGGCTGAAAGGAGGCTTCGAAATAACCAGCATGAGTTCTGACATTAGAATGTATTATATATCTGACGTTAATCACCTCACGAGCAATTACTTTAATCCTATTTTTATTTGTTCCAAAGTACCTAAACGTTTGATCATGCATGTTGGCGCCTTTGTCGATTCACTTCTGATCTCATAATAACATCATGTCAACCTGAACAACCTGAGTAATTTATTAATTTAAGTTTTTCACCACTTGGAGGCGCTCATACAGTTTTAAAATGCCACTCCTTCATAACCAGTTGATCCTAATATGAACATATTCATACACACTATTCCAATAAACAGCAACATAATTCAATGTTCCACAAACCAAGCTTAATTTCCTCCTGACCAACTAATATATTGTGTTAGTTGGTTTTACTTACACCAACTAACATGACCAACCAATATAAGTGGACCGTGATAATCACTATTTTTTTTAAATGACATGTTTGTTATTAATAACGCCATAAATACCCAGATTAACGTTTTTAGCAAGCTTTATCTGTTATTTTACATCAAAAAGTGTCTGTAACCGTTTTTTTTTCCTGTTTGTTTTTATTTGAACTGAATTTAATCATAAATTCCATAAATGGAAAACTATACATACATTTTCCAAGCAGTGTTTGAATTCTGACTCTGGTTTTTGCTCATTGGAAAAGAAATAGTTAAAGGCACATGCGACACATTCAGAGGTGAAAAAAAGATCTTATTTATTTACAGCATCACATCTTAACTTGATTGATCTATATTAAAAGCAGCATAACAGATCTTATTAATTAAAAGCCACTACCTAAGTAAAGACAGATGAAGAGAGCTACGTTTCAGAAGTTAGCCGGTTGTTCTGCTTCCAGCCTGGCCCTGACACTGAACCCTGAGTGACTCCTGTGGCTGTAAAGCTGCTTATCTCACAGCTACAAGCTTCAGTATGTCCTCCAGTAAAAGAGATGGAATTCAAATATGATCTAAAACAAGATCAGACAGATATCATGGGAATTTTTCTGTACATGGAGTTGATTTTATTTCTGGACCCTGCAAAGGGACCTGAGATCAGTGGTGTGAAATCTGCACTGTGACAAATAAATCTGCTAACATGATGTTCCGCAGCATCACTGATGCTATCAGCTTTTCCCACGACTGGAATGAAAAGAATCCTGTTGATGTTTTTCATTCAGGTCCTCTACGGCAGCTGTTGAGGTCCAAAACAGACCCAGTGATAAATGTACTTCCTTGTCAACAGAAATACACAGTAATGTAGAAATACAATTTGGCTTCAGAACTGCCCTTATTCTTACAAGCCTTTTTACGCACAAACTGTAACGTCTCTCAAACTCTGGTTAGTTCTGACCTGATAGCATCCTGCAGTGGCTGTGGCTTTGTTGGCTGCAGGTCTGTGATGCAAATCAGATGCAAATCAGGTGGACATGGAGGCCATTAGAGGAAATGAATTGGACAAGATAAGCAGCAACACTCAGGAAGCCTGTGTTATTTGTTAAGGAAGAATATATTATCTAAAATAGTTAACTTTGGAAAAAGTTTGGCTCTCTCTTCCTCTGGATCCCAGGTCCTCTCGGCGAGCCACGTGTGGCCACAAGGAAAACAACAATAATGCGTGTTGACGTCACAGAATTACAGAGTTTAATCCAATATAAGACAATGTATAAACTTACACCAGAAACTGCAGAACAACAGAGACATACATTCATTTACCTGACAGGATTGGAAAAGAAGGAAAGAAAGAAAAGCAAAGACATGCAAAGATATCTTTGGAGAAGTTGCAAGAGCAAATCTGATTTGTTACTTCTGTGTAGAAAGTTTTATAGTAAAGGCGTATTTTTATCTTTAATTTATTCAAATAAGGCGTATCTTTGCTCATCCAACCAGGAGCTATCTCTGACCCTCTATCTGAAGCCAGAAACCCCTGCCGTGTTTACGGCCTTTCACAGATGAGTGTGAAAAGCTGGAACTTCTCCTGTATTGTTTTCCACACAGACAAAAGGCAGTTCAAACGATCCTAGCAAACCATCTGCTGTAACTACAGGTAAAATAAAGGTCAATAGGCCAGAATAAGTTACTGATTCAAAACCACAATTAGGGCATTTGAATCAAGACATGTTAAGTTTTAAAACTAGCTTATTTTAAATTTATTTTCTCAACATATTCAAACTAAATTCAGTTGAGGCGTGGCGGTCCAAAGCGGACTGAGAAAATATCCCCAACACCGTTACATCACCTTCCACTGCCTGAAGTGTTGCTCACACCGAATTCTGAAACTGCCATCTGAATGTCGCTGAAGAAAACAAGACACATCAGACCAGGAAACACTAGAATTCATGTCCATCTTTGAGGAGTCAGCGTGAGTTCCAGTCTCAGTTACATGTGAGCTGGTCTTCTGCTGCTGTAGTCTGTCTGCTCAGAGGTTTCAGGTGACATGTGTTCAGAGATGGCAGCCTGCAAATTTGGTTGTAACAAATGGCTATTTAGGCTATCGTTGCTTTTTCACCTTTACTAACCAGTCTGCCTGTTGTCCTCTGACATCAACAATGCGTCTCCTGCCACATAAATGCAGCTCTGAATATTTTCTCTTGAGCCGTGAAGGATCTGGTAACCATACTTTCCTTTAAAAACACTTTGGGGTTCAATTTTTTTTTCATGTGAATCATGAAGTCTTGTATTTTGTAAGTCTGAGACTAAGTCATATTTATACAGCTACACATGGAAACCACCAGACACACGGTGCGCATAATGTGTCCACATACACCTCAGAACGTACACAGTTGGGCTCGTGGTCGAACATGTCAGGCTTATAATCAGAAACGATCACACTGATCAGGCAATACGGATCACTAATGAGGCAATCAAGACCTCATGGCTCTGTGGCTCTACTCTCTATTTAAATCACTGTTAGCATCTTAGACACCGACCATGCTGGCCAACATGCGAGCTGATTTGGTCACGTCTCACAGAGTGAGGTTCTGTGAAACTGTCTGGGGAGCCGAGTCAAAGCAGCACTGCCAGAGATTCATGTGACTTTGGCCTCATTACTGATCTTTATAGTCCTATCAGCACGATTGCTTCTGATTAAAACTAATAAGTCAGATACTTTCAAGCTAAGTTTCAGAACTGAAGAAGCCTCTTGGATGAACGGTGAGAGGTCTTCAAGACAGCAAGAGAAGTTCAATCACCTTCAATCAAAACTCTAAAGATCATCACATCCTGGATGCCTGAGAATCTACACCAACGTGTCTGGTAGTCGCCAGTGGGTGAAGGTAGGATTTTGCTATTGCATTTAAGCACCGCTAATCAATTTTGATGCACTGAAAGGAAAAAAGTACAAATCAGGATATAGAGTGTGATTGATGCTCCACCAGGATCATAAAGTACCCAGTAATTCATTCCAATGATGACATTTTAAGCTGGGAGGCAAATGAACGCAATTAAGCCAGACAGGTGTGCTCATATGTCGGACATTTTACATTTTGAAGGTTAATACTGCTGTGAAAATGTCATCAAGCATCAAGCATGACTTTACCACAGCGCACCCTGGTGGTTAGAAGGACAGCAGAAGAACAACAGTCCAATGATCAAATGGAACGACCTGTTGATACAATTCCTTGAATCCTTTCCTGTTTTGTGACATCACAGTTTGTATATGTTTGGTCAACCCCTTTGAGTTTGCACAACCACCTTTTGCTACAGTTTCAGGTGTTGTTCCTTTTGGTATGTGTCTAACAGCTTTCTAATTTTTGCCCAAACTTCTTTGCTAAACAGTTCAGTCAGACTAGATTTTCTTTCAACAATTTCTGACTCTGCGAAAGTAGTCTGGTCTGATAAAGTTTTCATTGATCTAAAACATTTGAATTCTTCAAATTTTCAACAAGGAATTTCTTCTTTTTGGCCTTCAAAAAAAAAAAAAAAGACCTAATTTTAGTGGAAGGGAAAACTCATGATTCTGTTAAAGGAGCAGCATTATGTAAAGATAAAGTTTTTGTTAGCTTTGCATCATGTTTTGATGTTATTCCCTCATCAAAAACATACCTGGTGTGTTGCCTTGACTTGAGAAATCCTTTAATCTCCCTTGGCAACCTTTCAGCTGGTTTCATGTCACAGAGCACCTCCCTCCGCCTTACTTCCCCCACTCGGCTCCTTCAGACTAGCCAGAAGCAATTAGCAAACACCTGGAGGAACTGCACATCTGCTGAGCTCATTATAGGAGCTACTTCTCAGCACAAAGCTGGTAAAAATCTTGTTAAAGGGTTAATAGAGGAGCCATGTTGTGATGATTTCCTGAAGGCGGAGTTACAGAAAGAGATGGAGTTTTTAAAGAGACAGAGCCCAATTTCAAGATATTAAGTATCAAAGTCATATTTGAAATATATAGCATTTTTATAACAACTGATGATAACAATACTTCCTTGCGCTATAAAATGGCACTCTGTGGCTGGAAAACACAATACTGCCTCTTTAAAAAAAATAAAAAAAAACATAAACGTAGCATAATGTCACAAGCTAATGGCTTTATGAGTTTCAGCTACAGTTTATGTATTACAACAGTTCCCAACAGCTTAAGATCATTTTCCTCTGTTTTCTTTGGAGCCAACAACTTTACAAGTCTGAAGTCCTGCGCTTGACTGACAGGAGCCTGAGACCTCTGGAGAAATCTGTTTCTAATTATGTTGTAGCTGAAGCATCCATTGTTTCCTGTAGCACCCTGGGGAGATGCCGAGCTGTTTCATCAAGAGGCTGCTGGCTACTGCCAGACCTCCCAGACTCTCACTGTTACATTAATCATGTTGAAGGTGGCTGCTTCAGCAGAGGCAGAGGGATGATTAAGTTTTACTGTCCCTCAGGTCCTGACTTGGTCACCGCAGAACATAGGCCTAAACCTTCACTTCACCCTAATGAAACTTATACATGCAGAGCATTTCTGTAATGGGTAAACTGTCTGGAGAGTCCCAAAGCTGCAATGCTTAACTCAGGACATGCAGTCACTTCACAAAAGATGCTCAAAACAACACCAGAATGAACAAGCTGGTGGTGGGAGCCGTTGATCTTTCACAGTGATGAGTCAGAGACTTTCTTGCAAAGTTAAACCTCATCAAGCACTGATGACAAAGGCTACAGTGTCAAAGATGCATCTTCTGCCTCATCTTATTAGTTCTAGGACCACTTCAGACATCGGAGTGATAACCCTCTTAAACTTGGGAGTGGCTGCGCATTCACCATTTTGGGGAACTGGTAGTTTGGGATTTTACAGCAGAGCCATGGATTCACCACGTTCTGGTGGCTCCATCTACACATTGTCCCTAAAAGACAGAAACAATCCATCGTCCTTCTGTTGATAGTCACCTTACTGTGACTATCAACTGCAGCAGCTTTCTTGCTATACTTAGTGACATTTCAGACAAAAAAATTGACATTTCTCGATTTGTAAATAATGTAAAAAATTATTAGTTTTTTTAAATTTAATGAATAGTTTTGTTTTGCTCACCATTTTGCAGTTTATTCTCTGAATCCAGTTCTTCCTTTATTTTAAGAAATCTATCTTTTGTTGCTCATATTGCTGGTGTGGTTTGGTCAACACCTCCATACTCGCTCCACCACCAGGACAACTATGTGACTCTGTGTTAGAACCCAAACATGTCAAATGAATGATTTAAGTTTGGGCAGATTATATTTGACAGTGTTTTGGATTAGTTACTTTTAATGAGGTTTTTTTTCTATCCCTTTGTTTAGCCTCCATCTTGATGACCTGATTTATCCACGTTTTAACTGTTGGACACAACAACTCATATCTGACTGTAATAAATAAATAAAAACTAAATAAGTGTCTGCCTAGTCATGTTGTCATGGAGACCATCAAAGAGCATACAGCATATCTAGGAGCTAATTTAGAGAAAGAGAAGAGAAAGCATTTCAAACAACTTCTGGCTCATTATTCATGCTCTCAGCTTCTGCTTGTAGAATTCTCAGGATGCTTCTCTCCTCCAGGACACACACACAACGCACGCACGCACACACACAAGTCCAAACCATTTGATCATGGAGATGAGGCTGGCTGCTTGATTACTAAACGTTTGAAGTGAAAAACACCCAGAAACGATTCACTTTTCAAATTAGTAACATTTATTTTGAAATATTTAGGTCCATATGAGCTAGAAGAGAGAACAAGATTGCACAGTTGTATTAATCATTCCAAAATAATAATAAAAAAAGAAAGAAAATCATTGTAACCCAACACATTTCACTCCCAATAGTGGGTGTGTCATTTGAAACAAGGTAAAAGCAGTAAAAAGAAACTTGCATTGATAGCAGTTGAGAACACCAGGCTAGTGAATCTCTAGAGGCACATGAAGAAGGAGGAGAGGCTCTTCTGAACACAGCAGCTCTCAGACACACCTGCTAAGATGGCTGCTTTCTGTGATGTAATAACATGACACCCTGATGAATCCTCTAAAACTTTTTCAATACTTTCTTTGCACAACTAAACTGAAAAAAGAAAAAAAAATCTGATAAGTAAAAACACACCACTAAAAAAAACAAAACAAAACAAAAAAAAAACAGTGAAGCAAAGTGGTGGCAGTATCATGCTCTTGGGTTACTTTTCTTAAGATGGAACTGGGTTTTTGTGAAGGCAGATGAAATTACAATCCGCTCCAAATCCCACTTGTGTCTGCTAGATGTCTGAAGATGGGTTTGATTTTTCAGCTTCACAGTGAGACCAAGCGGACGAGTAAGACTGCAGAAATAAATCCAGCAGATTAACTGATTTCTACAACATGAAAGTCAAATTGTGTCAAAAATGATGCTGCCATTTCCTTCACATCTTTCCAGCAGTCATTTCAGCAGGCTGTGTAAAATTGAGAGAGCCGCTGATCGTATTGTAGAAGCCTCATTTCTGCTGCTGTTGTGGCAGCTGTCAGCTAGAATCAGCTCCCTGAAAGAGGTGAGCTCCACTGAAGAGCCTTCAGATGGAACTCACCTGGAAACAAGAACAGAACACAAAACTGCTGCCAAGTTAGGTTGAATAGTGACGGCTGTTTGCTGGTATGCAAGTCAACACCGCAGAAACAACTATGTTTCCACCATGGGGGACACTCATGTTGCCCCTTTGCCATTTTTTTTGACACACTATTTATCTTCTATAACCTTCTTGAGGTCAACTGTAATGAAACATGGTTATGTCGCTTCAATAAATATCTTATGTGATTTTGGTTTCACCAGAGTTCATAATTTCACAAAAGCAGCTTAGAGCCAAAAGCGGGTCAGAACAAAAATCAATGGAATGGGGAGTGAACTGATCAATTGGACCCAATTTTCTTAATTTTGGGAGATCAGTTGATAAATGAAAAACCAATATTATCCACCTTTGCACAGATCTAAAAATCAGCTACTGTCCATGTTGCTCTGCTGTGACTGAAAGCCCCGCCCACCAGGCAACGGCTGTTGTGACTGTCATAATATTTAGCAACTTTATATACAAAAATAATAAATTGGTGTAGGCTAAAATCAGAATCAGTTGGTCAGACTTTTTAAAGATCGGTGATCGGCCAGGAAATTACAATCGGTGGATCTCTAGAGAATAATACGCAATTTGAAAATACAGCAAATTTGAGCATTTTGTACAACTATGTAGCTGCACTATTCAAAAATACCAACCAACTGAAATTAACTCAGATGGTATTAATAAGGATTTCTAAACTGGCAAAGGGGCGAACTGACATCCAAACAGAAACAAAAGTATTTCCTCTTCCTGCTTAGACACAAAACAAGAATACACAATTTGACAAAAATAAAATATAGAATATAACTAATGGAATTTAAAGCATAAACAGAAATTTGTCAACAGCTTTTTATTTCTTCTCTTTCATCAGCTCCTTCATCTGATTGCTACATATGCTAATGCTAAATGATGAGATAATAAATGACATATTTAATCTGAGCAGATCTGTTATTTCACAAGGCATCATGAGAACCTTCAGTAAAAGTACCATCTGTTACCAAAAAGATGTTTGGGGTCACCAACTTCCCTCTTCTGTAAGCAGAAATATTGAACTGCATAATTCTGCTGTTTTTGCAAGTGTGAGAAAAAATATTCATTCAGCCAGCTGACCAGCAGTTGCTCAGCAACAGGTGGAGGAGGAACTCTTTAAAACATTCATAAACCTCGATGTCAGGACCCATGTGATGATGGTGGAATGAACCTGTGGGAACAGAAGGCTGTGTGTGTGTTTGTTTGTGCTAAAACAGGCTGAATGGAGGATGTTAGCTGACGTCTGTTCCGGTTTCAGCCGGTCCGGTCACAGTCACTGCCTTTAAAGTTCTCTCTCATTCGGCCATTGCGGTCTAAGATTTTCACAGGGAGTTCGTTTTGGGATTACTTGTGCATAAAAAGTTCCCAAAATTTCCAAAATATTTTCACCTCCTCGATGAGAAGAAGGCCATGTTTTCGTTCTCCTCTCGACAAAACCAGCAAAATAAAACTCAAATGCTTTGGTACAAAAGATGCAGATTAGAATGGCTGCAAAAAGCCCAACAAAAATCAGAGTCTTAAGTTAAGAGTATGAAGCCTTCTACATGTAAGAAAACAAGGCAGAAGAGAAAGTGAGTCTGTATCCCAACATGTAGATTGCCGTGAGAGAACGCACCGGGTTCCATCAGGGCAAGAGGGCGCTAGAGCTGGGTGTTCTAGCTGCGGCGGCCGGCTCAGTCTCCCACATCGCTGTCTTGGTCTCCGATGAGCCACAGGAAGTGGAAGCTGAGCGCCAGCAGCGCTGTGCCCAGCAGGTCCCCCAGAGCCGTCAGGTAGGGGATGGAGAAGCTGTCGGGGTCTTTGCCGCTGCGCCACATGGAGTGAACCATCCAGTCTGCTATGCACAGCAGCAGCAGAACCTGCAGGACCAGCATGGACAGACTCACTCACAGGAAACTTCCTGCACATATAAAACTCAACATTTTCAAAAGACCACAGGTTTTGAACTGAAATGTTAAGTTTTGGAAAGTGACTGGCTCTCTGGAGGTACCTAAAGATTAGGATGGGGGCAGGGAAGCATTCCAAATGCAAAGGTTTAGAGCTGACAATTAAAAATAAATCCGAAAAATAACAGCAGAAATTCACAAAAAGCTGCTCAGCTACTATAAGAGTTGTAAAGATTTGTGCAATAATTATTAAGAAAGAGTACAAGTGATCTTCAACATGTCATTTTTGATGATGTAATTAAAAACAATTTAATTTCTATGTTGTATTCTTTTGAGAAATCCATTCAGAAATGTCTTGTGTTGAAAGTTATTCTAAATTAGCTGTAGGAACATTTTCTATGCTGCCTCTGGGCTCCTTCATAACTAAGGAACCCAGTTATGAAGGAACTGGGTTCCTTCACAGGATTTCTTACTATTGCTTGGCAGATATAAAAATCTAACTGTTTAGGGGGAAAAAAAAATCAAAGCAGGCTGAATTTAAACTTTCTTGACTAATCTAACCAGAGGTAATTTTATTTGAATAGGTTTTCATTCACACTCGGCTCAGAGTGTGATGTGGTGATTGATGAATCTCACACCAGATTATTTGTAAAATTAAGCTTTTGAATTTCAGGAGGAGGATATTGGTCAGGATGGATATTGGTCAAGATGGCCGCCTTTTTTTTGCCTTTAAACTAATTATTGCCTTAGCTTCTGCTAATCATTTAGCAGAAGTCAATATCATTCTTAGAAATTGGCCACCATCTTGAATGTTTCAGTGGCTAAAGTTATGTTTTTTGTTTTGTTTGGAAAAACAAGCAAGCCCATGGGAACATATGTGCCAAGTTAGTGTCTTTGTATCCGCAAACTAAATTATCTGCTACACTGGTAAGAGAGCTCAGGTTTAATAATAAGATCCATAAATTAACTAAAGACAATGTGCACTAAAGTGTTCTCACTTAGAAATTCAACCACACTCCTTCGGTGAGGTTAGGTCAGGGATTTAGCTCCTGTTACTATGGCTGGAAGGAAGAAGTGCTTCAAAATGCAGCCCAGAATAGCACAAACACACAAAACTGAAATAAGAGAATAAAACCTGGAAGCAAAGTTATGATAATTGTTATTCATGATTTAGGTTTCCAGACCAGGAGGGATGATGGTGACAGAAAAAAGGGAAGTCTATTAAAAGATAAGGGCATGTCTATAAATTAAAAGAAAATGAGCTGTCAAGAGGGTTTGTAGTGGCATAATTATCAAAATAAAACCACATTGCTGTCGGTGATCAACACCGACGCGTAGAAAACATGCAGGGATGATGGTGTCAAACAGCAGGGAGAACTGATTGTAATGATGTATCATCCTCTGTGCAAAAACACAAGAGCTCTGAGAGCGCTGACAGCCTTTCATGGCTTAAAAGATGAAGGTATTTCACTGATCTAATATGAAATACTGCTTAGAAAAATGCCGTCCTGCTTTGTTTTGCTCGGTACTCTTTAGAGATGATACGATGAAAGCGTTTTAGAGATGTAACCTCTGTCAGACTAATAAAGAAGTGTGGGCGAGTTAGAAATTTTCAGCAACGTCCCTTTCTTTCTTTTCACAGTGGCTGGAGGTTCTTTCAAACCACCCGGCTTCAGGAAACCGTCTCTGCCTTTGTGGAAGCTTCTATAATTACCCTGGTGGCAAGAAAACATAAATACGCAATGAGGGCGGAGATGTAAGAATTGCAGTAATACGTTCCGATTTCTTGGTACCTGTGAGAATACGGGCAGCTGCGTTTAGCAAGCCAGTGAATAATCCTGTCAACTTGTCACAAATGCAGCGATTTCTATTTCAGAGTTGCTCTTTGATTGGAAACCTTCAAAGTTAATCATTTTTGAGTGATAAAAAGCTCATTTAGTAATAGCAGTTCCTCGTTCCTTCCTAACATCACAAGACGCCAAGAACCTCAAACCTCTCTGGCTGAAGCAAAGAAACTCCTGGCCTTCTGGGGGAAACATCTCCAAAATGCAGGTGTTCGCCCATATCATATCATATCATATCATATCATATCATATCAATGTGTTGGACTTCCATTTCACTCATCAAACTGCACCTCCCAGTGTGCCTTGCGCGAGACACCATATTTGTTGGCAAATAAGCTAGCTTCGTAGGTAGTGATGTCGCTCCCTGGAGGCACGCCCACTTTAACGGGGCCACACTTGTATGTGGACCATTTTTTTCTAAGAACTTTTCAAAACCTTCACAATGTTACCTAGAGAACTATGAAAGAAATACTATTTGTGTACCCAGTTTTCTAAGTTCCCGCATGGCCGACATCAGCACATGCAAAACCCTCTGCAGTTTGCCTCTAGAAGCCCCTGAAACTGCTTCTTCAGTCGTCAACAACGAGGTTTTTTCATGGTCTTGCCAAATCCCTGCACTCTGCTTCATCCTGAACGACCGAGCTCAGAGTTTGTTTTTCTATGCGTCTAGGCTGAAATAAGGTCTTTCTTTTATGTTTTTGTTTAATGCTTCTGGTTGAAAATGTGCTGATTGGATGCTGTGAGATTCTCAAGGTGATTTGTGCTGGTTTAAAGTGTGTGTGAGATGTTTGGATTCAGAACATAGTTTAATCTGGCGTTGCCAGCATCCACTGGCTTTCACTTTCTTGTTGCCTCAATTGTCCATTGTTGCTTCCCTTTATTCACACACACCCCATTGAAGACTAAGTGTTTTTGGTTCTGTTCCTGGTTTGGTAAGGGCTTAACAAAACCACATGTTCTTTGTCCCTTTATTAGCTGAAAACTAAGCAAAACCACATGTTGCTTTGTTCTTTTTACACACATTGGCCACAGTGGAGAAAATCAGTAGATAGATTATGTATCGGTAGATAGAGTAAGATATTATTTAAGGTGTTATGTGATTATGGAAAATGTCAAAATTATAGACAGTGATGTTGGATGAGAAAACCTTCATCCCAACAGTTTTCTGTAGAGCTACAGTCAGGACTCAGTGCAGGCCCTTCATGTTCATCCATCTCTCTATGGATGATGGAGGAACTGGTGCAGTCATGTCGGAACATCTAAAAAATATTCACCCAAAGTTGGGAGATTAAAGTTAATATGCTGAAGCATTAGGAATTCTTTCACCTGAACTGTAAGTGGCTATAATCCAGGCAAGGTTCCAATCCTTCCCATTGCACCTGGTGATGTATACCTTGGATGCAGTTGCTCAGCCGTGGAAACATGTTCCTTAAAGCTCTCCATTGTTGTTGAGCTAATCTGAAGGGCATCTGAAGTTTGGAGGTGTCTGTATGCTACACTGCTTAGTACTGGGTGTTCCCTGAACTCCAATCCTTCTTTCTGGAAAAAGACGAAGTTGAGTTGCTGATCTTCCAAACTACATTCACTGACAGTCAGCAACTTATTGCTCCACTGACCGTAGAAGTGGTGAGAAAATGTGACCTGTGAGATGGAAAAAGTGTTTCTATTGCAGTTTTGTGAAATAAATCCATTTCAATATGACCTCCCACCCCAAAAAGGAACATTATTAGAACTGTAATATAGCAGCTTTTCCCTTAGAGCTGGTTTAATAGAAACTTGTGGTTAAAGAAACCAATCTTTCAAAGTAGCTAACAGATGCTGTAAACTGACTGAGTTTAATGGAGAGCCAAAGTTAGCTCAGTGCTGTTTGTTCTGTCAGGCAAACCAACCAGCACCTCATGGATCATTACTAACTGAACGCTCGGCGCTAACTGAATTAGCAGTCACCCTTTTCCCCTGAACACTTTAATTCTGCAGAGCGTGCTGCGTTCAGGCTCCTAATGAATGTTGTTATTCTGTCTCTGTCTGCACAAACACACTGATGACAAAGCAGATTAAGCTCTAGAAGCAAGACGTGGTGCATATTTTAGCTTTCTCTCCCCAAACGGCAATAAAGTCATTGCTTTTAAGCAATGCAGACAGATTCAAAGCAGAATTCAGCTTTGGAATTTAATGAGTGAACTGATCAATATTCTGTGTTTAGTTTTTGTAAAGGCTACAATGTCAAACAGGCTGGGTGCAAGCTTCTTTTCAACTTACACAGCCCCCTCCCACTGATGTTCCATCAGTGACTGTGGACCTCAAAGCAGCTCTGCTGGTAATGGAGCCAATTGATTTGTAAAGTCTCCAACTCCTCTGCAGCTTGCATAACATCCTAATGCGCCGTCTCTGCATTAAAGATTCAGGGGCACAGCGGGACAGAGAAAGAGCTGGACACACACACGCAAACACACGCACACAGAGCAGCAAGACTGTCAGCATTCCAAACACTACGACAAATCACAGTGAACCTGAATAAGTGAAAGCAGTCATTCATAATTGAATTCTCTCGGCTGGAACTACCCAAAACTCCTAATAGGTCAGACTCCTTCGGCTGGGTGTGAAATCACACAACTTCACAGAACACACAGGGGTTAAATGTTTAAAGAGCAGACACACACTCACAGCTCATCTCAGCTGAAGTTGTTCATAACCTCAGGAGAAAATCCATGTTCTGTGTAAAATTCTTTTATAATACACTGTGCTGACCTGTTGAAACCTGTCTATCAGCGAGTAGTGGCTGGTTATCAAACCATTTCCTGCTTCCTAATTCTGGTAAGACTGATTTAATGGTCACCTTGAAAATTGACAAGCAGGCAGCAGATAAAGAACTTGGGCGTGTGGTTTGACCCTGGGCTCTCTTCTTGAAAAGAGAAAACAAGAACTGCCTTTTATCACCTTAGGAACGTTGCAAAAGTATACATTTTATTTTTTGAAAATGCTGAGGTTCTTCTCTATGCATTTGTGTCTTCACATATCGGCTACAGCAAAGCTCTGTGTTCTGGGTTACCGAGGAAATGTTTTAGAGGTCTGCCCGCATTTGAACCAAAGCTGGGAAATACATGTGCAGTGGTCCCTGTAGAGCAGGAGTGTCCAAAGTTGGTCCTCGAGGGCCGGCTTCCTGCATGCTTTAGTTCTCTCCCTAGTGGTTGTAACAACCTCCTCAGCAGGCCAATGTTCTGCTTAGGCCTTCTAATGAGCCATCATTTGATGCAGGTGTGTTAAACCAAGGAGAGAACTAAAACATGAAGGATGCCGGCCCTCGAGGACCGACTTTGGGCACCCCTGCTGTAGAGGGATGACGTTGGACCACTCACCAATTTAAACATGATCTGGTTTGTGCCAATGGCAAAAAGCAAAGTCACTTCAAGGTTCGTACACTTTTCTTAAAGTAAGATTTAAACACTTTTCAAGCATTTTCAACATAATTTTCAAACTCTTACAGCACCACACTTTGGAGATAAAAAAAACAATACAACTGAATTAAAAAAGAAAGTTTGGACAGCTAAAGCTGAAGAAAATTTATATCAAGGCTGGACGAAAGTTCACCAAAAGGCAGAGAGATAAAACGGTCAGACTCTAAAAGTTAAAATTTAAAATCTTTTCTCTCATTTCTTGCCTTATAATACTGAATAAGTTGTTAAAAATTTATATTAAAACTGGGATAAGGAAGGACGTATTTGACAGCTGAAATTATTGGTGAATTTTAAACTGTACCATCAACCATTATTCTCCATAAGGACACAAATTTGCAACTGTACCTTTCAATAAAGTCCTGTCATTTAAAACAGTGGTTCCTAACGTCTAGATCCAGATCAGAACAGTGATCTAGTCCGTCAGGGCCCGATTAAGACCTTATTCTTAGAGCATGCACAGGCTGCCATGGTTTCAGAAATCCTTGGATCTCCTTGGCAACCATATGCAAACGTTTCAAAAAGAGCAGGAGTTTTTAAAGAGACAAAAGACCCAATCTCAAGACGTTAAATATCAACGTCAAATTTCTTCCAAGTCATTTGAGATATATATATATATATACATATATATATATATGTGTGTGCTGAAGGTAACAAGGTTCGTTGTGTGTAAAATAGCACGATGTGCTTGGGAAAAAAACAAAACAAAAAAGACTCGCTGCCCCTGTACAGCTTTATTTCTGTGGTTATTTCATATTTAGCAACAACAGAACGGGACTACTCTGTGAGCGTGTTGCTTTAATGTGGAGATGCTCACCTGCAGCAGAGCAGCAGCCAGGTAAACGGACATGAAGATGGGGGTGAGCGTGGTGTGGCCACTCTTCATCAGGTGGATGGTGTAGAGGAAGATCAGGTGGCCGGGGATCACCAGAAGCAGCAGAACCTGAGCTGAGCGATGATTTGCTCCTGAGAAATTACAGGTTGAAGAGAAGGAAGGTTAAGGTTCTACATCTGGGGAGGCACAGCTGAATTATACTGGGAGTCCTGAAGCAAACAGCTAACAGTTACTAGAGAAAACTTCTGCTCTGCACACAGTAACCTCAAGAAGCAACATAGGATTGGTCTCTTTAATAAGGCACAAACACTGCAGGAGTTTTCAGCCACCAAAGACACAAATAAACTTCTGAGCCCTGGAAGAAAATCAGATCTATGCTCACTCAGAAGAGCTTCGTTTCAGATTGCGTGGGCTTTCTCCGGAGCATCCAGAAAAAGCCCACACAGTTTCTTTTAACATTTGGACTCTTATCAGTACAAAAAATTAGAATAAAAACACAGAGCTTTCTGTTTGGTTCTGACCATGTTCCTATATCTAAACTGAAATTTCTGCAGAAGCTGACATTTTTTGTTGTACACCAAGATTGTTGCGATCAATCATTCGTAAACTTGTGTGATTGACTTGATGCATTATAAACAATGCATCACTTTAGCTTTTCAGCATAGTCTTAATTTGAAATATCTGTCAAGATCTGAACTCGTGATACAAAAACAGGTGAAGACATCAAAAATCAGGATGAAAAATCAAAACAAAATCTGTGCAACGCAGTGAGATTAAAACTGTGATCTATAAGCAACTAATGAATGGGAACCAGATCCAGAGCATGATACTGCCACCACTGTGCTTGACATCACCAACTTGCTGAAGTTGACACTGATGTTACAGCTCTTAGCTGAAACACTCAATAAAACACACCAATGTATTTAAAAATAAACCCAAACCCATTGCACAAATTAGAAGGTCATTGAAAAGAACATTTATTTTAGGAACTTAATAGTTAATATACACATATCATCTAGATTAATTACACAGATGAATGTTTGGAAGCTGTTACTTCTGTTAATTATGATTTTTCCCTTACAGCTATTAAAATCGTGACATTTAAACTTACTAATTTAAGTAATTACAATGTACTTAAATTAGTTTGGCTGCAACAATTCTTTGAATGACTGAGTTTAAAGAAAAAACCCTTGAGGAAAAAAATTGAGAGAGACACAAATTATGTTTAAGTCATTTGTTCACCATATAAATATTGAGTATCATACACCCACAAACTTTATTCATACAGATGAGCCCCATTCTGTAGAAAGATTTTATCAATTGTAAGACAATCACAAATAACACTAAGCTGCTTATTTTATTTGGATTATTTTATTATAAAGTTCTACATTTGAATAAATAATTTGTTTTATTTTAAAGGAAGATTCAATGAGCAGATATCAGGGAATAGTTCATGTTGAAGGCAAGTCAATGTTATCAACATTGACTTGATAATGTCAATGTACACCAAATGGATCATTTGGTGTACTGTTTTCACCAAATGATCCAATTTCAGTTATTCAAAAATGTTAATATTGAACAAAGTCATTTTGATTATAGTTTATTCCTTAAAGCATCTCTAACCATCTGCCTTTGCTTGACATGAAGATTAAATATGTCCCTGTAAATCTGGATCAAAGCTGCATAGTAGGACTGTGTGGATGAAAGCTGAAATTCATTTAGTGAATTTAGCCTCAGTCTGTCTTGGACATAATTACCTTTTCTGAGAGTTGGAGTTAGTCTCACATCTTATGAGCAGAATATTAAAGTTTTGTCAGACTTTGTCCTCATCTGTCCTGTGACCGTCCATCTGCAGCTATATCCAACTTTTGCATTATAAACACACTGGCTGTGTTTCTACTACAAATATGCACAAAACTTTGTCAATATTCCGCTAATGCCAAAAAAGCCTAAATTTGCAACTGCAGTGTTTCCGTTAAATAAGAAAACACAATTAGAATCACACATGAGTAATATTGTTCAAGTTGTAAGTCATTAAAAAACACGCTGCGCCATCATCCTCCAACTACTTCCTGTCACCTCCTTCAGGGTTTTGGCTGGTGGCAACATCTAGCTGTTGATCATGTTACTGTGTGATGAGGAAAAAAAATGTTTCCATTGCAGTTTTGCTAAATAAATCAATTTAGATGTGGCCCAAAAAAAAAATAAATAAATAAATAAATCACCACATCCTAGTGGCATTGTTTTTTAAATTTTTGTGTTTCCATAAAATTATTTAAATAAAGCACAGTTAATGATTGATTTTCAATTTTGGATAAACAGCTACAAGACATTGCAGTTTAATTAAAAGGTAAATTCTTTGATTGGGACAAAATGTTGATAAATTGTTCTGAAAGGCTTAGCAACAACAACTCCAAGTCCCTTTCTGCAGCCCACTGCTGAGCACGGTGGTGGCAGCATCATTCTCCTGTTCTGGCTCACTTCTGGTATTACTAGTGTTTTGCAATATTTTGTAGGCCAAACAACATAACACAGTATGTTCTATCAGACCTTTTAGTAGGTTGATAGATCAATTAATGACTTCATCCTGATATTAAATTGAAAAAAAAGAAAGAAAATAAATTATATTGTCAGCTGGTAGAACTAGTTTAAATCTGTGCCAGTTAATCTGCACGTTTGTTACAACATCACATGAGAATGAAGTGACCTCGGTGCAGTTGGTGGCTGGACTGACCTGTGCCACAGAATGTGCGGCAGGGGTAGTAACAGCCCTTGGCCTCGTCAGGAACTTCTCCCGGAGCGCAGTGGAAATGCAGGTGGGTGGAAATCCTACTGGACTGGATGGCCACCAGGTTTCCTCCAATACCTGCACAAGACGGACAGGTGGGTCATCAACAGCTGAGAAAAGTAGAACAGTGTAAATGATCTAGAATTTCTTAAAATGACTACTTTCTCTAAGAAAGAGAACGACATCTCTTAAAAGGTACAGCTAATAAAAACAGCTTGTTTTTTTGCATGTTTTTATGCAATATTTGCATAGCATTTTTGTAACAGAATTTTTCAGTTTCCATAAATGTTGAAATTTACACCCTGCAGTTGAAGAAAATGTAATAATTAGCTTTTAATAGATTTTTTTATTGAAAAAAAAGAGGGTAATTCTTTAAAAAGGGAACATAGTAGATTTATGAATCTACTATGTTCCCTACCAATTCAGCTGAACTGAAGGCAAAAATGGTTTTTAGTTTTAAAGATTGCTTGTATCCCAGAATATACACTATCTCTTGACATTTAAGACAAGTTTGAGGTAGCAAAAATATTCTGATTTTTCTTATCACAAGTAAAGATATCCCAAAGACCCCTGTTTAAGACTTTGGAAATAATGCAGGATAATAAACAGTTAAACTTTGAATGGTCCGTCTATTGTAGCTCTCCTGCTTGTCCAGAAATACACCAAAAACACATTTGTTTATGTTTATTATGAACAAGTTAAAGGTTTCACAAACTTTTAATGGCTTTTGGAACTCTGAGTCTAGACCTTTTAGAGTTCTCATTTTTAAAGGATCAACTTTAAGTCAAGTAACCTTTACAGTTAAATCACCATCACTGATAACAACTGGCTGCAAAATGAGGAATGAACTTCCAACATTTCAACTTTGTAGCTTTATTCACTCTATATTGACCTCAAGACAGGTTCATTCACAGACAAATGACAGGTCTATTCCTTTAACAATACCAGATAATAGGAAAGAACATACATATTAATATTGGAGAAACTTTACAATTATAGTTTAATTTAAGATTTTGAAGGTGGGTTGCTTCATCATCAATACATCACCCCAAATGTTTATCTGTATTAATCTCAAAGCTTTAACAGATCAAATAAGTAATCTTCTCTTAATACCTGATGCTTTATTGCCAAGTGTGAATTTATATAATAATGGAAATGCATGTCAGCCTCTTATCATTTTCAATCTGAATATAACACAAAGCACAAAGAAACACTGTAAAATCTTTGAAAAACACCAGAGGAGGAGGAAAAAAGTGACTTTCATGAGAGAAAGTGATTCAGAACACAAGAAGAGCTTCACCTAAAAAAAAACACAAAGCAGAGCAAGAAAAAAAAGGACAAGATGACAAGCAAAGATTAAAGCAGGTTTCACAAAGTCACATCAAAGGCTTTCTAACACCTGAAACTCTATGCATTTGTTTGACTAATAAAATAAATGGAACAACATGAAATGTATCCAGCCACAAAATCATCGAAGCCTCCAGCCTGTCAACAACCAACAGGCTTCTGAATGTTTCATTAGCAGCCAGTTCTTCCTGGTAACTGAGGAAAAATGCACTGATCTGCTTTTTCCACTTCTGATATCAGTAGCTGAGGCTTAGTCTCAGCTGATACGATCTGATACAGAAAACAACAGAACTGACCTAAAACATTCATTTAAAAAAAACAAAAACAAACATAAATGATCTGAATTACAGATTTTGGATCCATGTGTGAATAAAATAGCCAGTGGAAACCATAGCAAGGTGAAATATATAAATGTTTCAATTATCCTTTTAATCTTACCACTCAGGAAGAAACACACACCTGTGCTGGTTTGTATGCTACTTGAATCTACAGCACTAAAACCAAACCAGAAACCTATTTGCATCAGATTATGGGTGAGGAATGCGATGGCATCCAGCAGCAGCGTGTGACCGTGCTGGTGACCAGCTTGAGGAGGTCTTCTGTTTGTTCAGCTGGGTAAATTGTTACCATGTCTCGTTTCTTCTAACTTCATTAATCATCCAATCAGATCTCCAGATGAAGCAGAGCGTTGTTGGTGGGAAGGTTTTTCATGGCCGCCAGCATAATCTTACTGCTCAACCCACAAATATGTTTTCCTTACAAATGTGGCTTTACTGAAAATTTACTGCCAAAAAGTAATGCTACAATAAAGAAGAAATCAGCTAGACAGACTTCCTTTCTTTTTCTGCTGCATTTGCGCTGCTGACTCTTTCTGAAAACCTTTTACTTAGAAAAACAACCTAAAATGTTTATTTCTAAAATGATCATGACATTTTTTTCCAACCATATCAGGTAAGAGTCAGACAGTCATTTATTTGCTGTGTGTGTTTCTTTTCTTTAGGCCACAGAGTGTTTTAATCAGCTGAAACAACTAAACAGCCTCAGGGTTTTTCCTCCGCTTGTCATCAGAATTTTGAAAATGATGGAGATTTAAAAATTCGCTACAACACAAAAACTGATTATATTTATGAGCAGGCCCCTCCCTGGAGACCTCAGTTGTTTGGCGCAGATAATGTCTCAAAGGAAAGCAGGACAGAAAAAGAATCCTCTCTTTAACTCTCTCTCATTAATGCCACTTAATTAAAAGCTTATCTCTTGTTGTTAAGGTGCCAAAAGAACAGACAAGCACAGCTCCGGCTGCTAGCAACGGGATGTGGAAAAGGTCCAGTTTAAACTAAACAGATACACAGAAAGCAGCCGTCTGCCAGCTCCAGTCTCATTAGGTAAAGTTTCTACAGTTTTTTTGAAGCAGGGGTTCACTAAGCAGGGCTGCTTCCCCCGTTTTCACATCCACCATCACTCACTGTTCGCTGCACTGCACAAGATAAATGGACTCTGTGTCCCTGGTATCCATCTTGTCTAGAAACTATTTGTCTCCATCTCTGTTCTCGGGGTCAAAGACTGCACTAATTAAAACAAAGGAGGGAGATAAAGGAGACAAACAACAACAGAGCAACTTTCCTCATCTCCTTCACTTTGATGTCAGCTCGTAGGAACGGCGTGTGCGAAATGAATCAATGGAATATAAGAACAGCTCAAAGAAGGGTTTCATTAAGGTCATTCCTAAAGAGGAAAACCTATAAAACAGCAGCAGAATTCTGGTTCATTATTACAAACAGCCGGTTCTAATAACTCATAAAGTCTTAACCAAACAATGATCCAAAACACAGCTCCAAATCTATTCTGGCATTCACGCAGAGGAAAAAGTAAAATGTTCTGCAATGGCCATCCCAGTCACCAGACCTGAGCATCATTGAACATCTGTGGGATGATTTGAAGTGGTCTGTCCATCAAACCCAACTGAATTGGAAACGTTTAGCAAGGAGGAATGGTCCAAAGTACCTTCATCCAATATGCAGACGCTCACTAGAAGCTACAGGAAGAGTCTAGAGGCTGTTACTTTTGCAAACAGAGGATCTAAAAGATATTAATGTGATTTTTTCTGTTGAGCTGCCTAAATTTTTGCACCTGTCAATTTTTTTCTCTGTGTATTTTGCACATTTTCTATTTAATCCAATAAACCTCACTGAACTACTGAAATATTACCGAGTCCATTGGTTATATCAGGGGTCTCCAAACTTTTTCCTGTGAGGGCCACATAACTTTTCCTTTCTCTGGTGGGAGTCAATTTGTAACAGAAAAAGTGTGACGTTTGCAGGAGTGCCTAAATGTAAAAATGTATTGTTTTCCAGAAAGCACAATCAAATAACATTTTCTGGGTTCTTCACAGAAAAAAATCCAGTAAGGATTATAGTCCGTATTTTCCAAACTATGAGCCGCAACGGACTATAAACCACAACCCCAAAGTTGTTTTTTTTTAAATAAACCAGTAAACATGCACATATAAACCACAGATATCTCTGCCGCTCCAGGTTTTCCACAACGATGCAGCAGCAGCAGAGGGGGGCGGACACCCAAAATTTGAGTCATAACAGGTCAATTGAATATCACATTTATTAGGGTTGAAAAAGAAAAAGTTGCCAAGTTTAGATTTAACTGAACTGATTACGGTAGTTTCTGAACGGTAACTGTAACAGTAAAAGTGCTGATCCTTCGTGTCTGCTACTAGCATGTGCTAAATCAGTGGTCCCAACCTTTTTATTACTACGGACCGGTCAAGACTTGGAAATTTTGTCCAATCAGAAAGCGCGGTGACGTAAGAACAGAGGGGAATCCCAAATAGGTGACATATCACGCAACTGAGAGTCCGGTGGATATCGGAGATGATATGTGGAAGTGTTTATGTAAAGGTCATTATTATGTTTATTCAGTTAAAAATGTTAACTATGAAAAAACATAGTCACCTCAAAATCATAGTGCAACAAATAGAGCGGCTGCTCCCGTCGTCTTTTATCCATCGCCTTTTCTTTTTGTTACGTCTTTTATCACTTAAAATGAGTCCACAAACTATCACTATTGCTTCTACATCGTCATCCGTGTTTGGTTATTCTAAATTCCCGCTATGTTGGGGGTTTTGTGGATTTTCTTCTAGAATC